TACATTTGAAACCTGTATAAAAGCCTACATTAATTTCTAATTTTGTTTTTATAGTTGCTGTAGGGCAAACCTTTTGGGGATGTCTCTAAATACCAGTATGCTTCAGTGAGTGAACATACAGTATTTTTCACAGAATTACTGTTTAATCCAAAACATCTGTAACAGTTTAGAGCTTTTTTCTCTTCTTTTGTAATTTGAGCTTATTGTTCAATGATCAGATATTTTCTTCCAGATTTTGTGTTATGGCTTAGTACTTCTTGACCAAGCATTACACTTTTATTTTGAGTTACTCTGGGTTCCAATTCTTTAAATTCAGGTTCCAAATCCCTAACACTGGAACATCAATGCTATGATCTTAAAAATTTAATTTCCCACTCAATTTGACCTCAAGGCACTCTACATTATACTACAAGAGTAATCTTTGTTCCCTGTGCATCCTAGTAAATTTCTCCTTTGCTACACCAGCTCATAATATTCTATTTAAATTCCCACTTCTGGGCTGGGGATTTAGCTCAGTGTTTCTGCTACCTGCCTTGCAAGTGCAAGGTCCTGAGTTCAATCCCAGTACCCTCCCCATCCCACTTTTCTTCCCTGATTCCTTATATTCTGTCTATCTGTAAGGGCAGCTTAAATATTATCTGGAATTGAAACTATGCATCATATTAATTTGAGTAAACTATATCTCCTGCATATGGTAGGTATTCATACATTAATGGTAAACTAGAGGGAGTGAGATGTAAAATGTGATAGCTACATTAACATTACAGACACTTCTTGAGGCAGTAATACTGTTATCAACTATAATTTCATTTAATTTAAAAAGTATGGTTATAAATTCAATTATTTTCATTCTTTTCCAAAATATGCAAAATTACAAGAAAAAGACATGGTTTGGTTTTGTTGTTTTCAATTATAATTTTATACTTACTGGCTCTTTGAAAACAGAAACATTTATATCGGGTAATTATGTCTGTTTTCCTGTAAGGCCTTATCTTTTTTTTTAACGTCTCCAGAACAACAACAAAAAAGTCAGTCTTGTTACCTTCAAATGTTTTTAATTTCTTGTTTTTGAGACATTTCCAGTCTCAAAAAAACTGGGCTAGAAGTCAAAAGAATTACAGTTCTTACCCTTCAGTTGCTTTTTCTGTAAATTTTGCCAGTACTGAGTCTCTTTTTGAAATTCCGTTTCTTTTACATGAGAGTTGAGGAAATTGAATTCAATAATTAAAATCAGTATAATTGTAAAAATTGTGCTGCGACATTAAGAAACATTTGAACATCTTAATCTGTTTTCAGTGTTACATGGTATCTTTTGACTTTGATTCTGGCATTCATTTTAGCCATGCAAGCTGATTCCAGGTTTGGTGCTTACACACCTGAGTTAATCTTTTCTGAGCCTATATTCTATAAACTTTAGATACGTTCTTTACCACTGTGAGCCTAAACTATCTTCACTCTATACTGTAAATAGATTATGTATTTGTCCCTATTCTCTCATTTGATGATCCTTATGAGGTTCGAATGAGATTATGATACTCTGTGAAGTGAAAAAGCTGTATAAACTTGCAAATCTATAAGAATCCCTGGCTTGAAGGTAGAAATCTGGATAGACCAAGGTGAGGAGTGAGGTCTCACTTTAACGTGAGCACAATTATTTGGAAAGACAACTGTTTTGGTAGAGTTGACTGATGGGCAGTTTGTTAGGTGAATTTATTTATCTTCACACCTCTTTCCCAAACCTTAGGTCACCCCTACTATGTGAAATGATTCATGCATCTCATGGGTGAATTGCGTTACAAGCCTTCCTCTAAAACAATATGCCAGAAATGGTTTGTATGACAGTAGCAAGTATTATGGGCCCCTGAAGAATGGATTTCTTGTTCGCACACCTTATGCTTAGTAGTGTCCTTTAAATAGTAGGGGATGTATAATATGTGAATATATATATATATATTTTCAAAGTTTATTTTCCTGAAATGTTTCTTTTTGCTTCTCTTTTTAAACCACTTGGGAGCCCCTTCCAGTATTGTTTCTTTGAATGTTTGTTGCTTCTTCCAAACCATGAGCCTCTAAAGGCAGAGACCACCTTTTATATCTCTTTGTGGAAAGAGAACCTAAGTGGAACCCTGGAACCTAAGTGGTACATAATCATATGGTTATATGAAAGAATGAGTGGTTATTAGTTTTCTTTTAATTTAGAAATTTTAACTTATAATTAACATACTAAATTTAGGAAATCATACTGCTTTTATAATGTTACTAAATATTTAAAGGAAGATTACTCTTAGATAAATTTCTAAAACCTATTTCAATTTTTTAGCTGTCCATACTTGGATGAGAAAATGATGTCTTTAAAAGCATTTCACTAAGGAAAATGTCTACATATTTTAGAATAATTTATAATGGCAATTATTTTTGCTATACATGATTTGGAAAGTGATCTTTACAGAATATATAAGGAGCCAGAGCTCAGATGATGAATGTTCAATGATAAATGGGATAATTTCTTTACAGAAAATATGCAATCTAAGGTTTTGCAAAGACTCCCATGTGACCTCTACAAGCAAAGCTCAATGGATGATTGGGAAGATTATTCAGCAAATACAGGCAAAACGGTAAAGAGTAAAAGGGAAAGCTTTTTGGTTTTTAAGCAACTTTTTGTACTCACTGTCTTAAATTTCCTGTGGCTAAAAGCACTTGCTTGCAATTGTGACAAAACAATAAAAAAGCTTCTACTAAATAAGCAAAATCTTATTAACAAAACAAAACTGTGTGTTATGTTTCTGTTCATTGTCT